AAAAGGTAGTAGTTTAAATTACATTTTGAACCTCACAATTAAATAAGGATTAAATTAAAAAAATGGGTGTTTTAGTCAAAAGAAATCTTCACAATCCTATTCATATTTTTAATTGTAGTGTAAATATAGAATTATATATGTTTTCAAATTTTTCTATATTTTTTTTTATTTCTAAGTGTGTAAAAATAAATTTGCTATGTAAACTTATTTTTTGTTTGATATGATAAATATATGATATCATACATGTGCCCAAATGTTTTTTCGTAAAATTTATGCATTTTAATTTTTGTATTTTTATATTTTATTAATTGTTATTATTTAATTATGACATTAAATGTTGACACATTTGACCAAAAAGTTGAACTATCGGTCTTCATTAAATAGGAAAATAATTTCATTTTTGGTTAGTTTTAGATTATGTATTTCATTTTCATCATTAATAAAAAAAATTCTTGTTTATTACACCTATTTTTTAATTTGATTAATAAAAATATCATAAATATGTCTAATTTTTTCCACATTTTTGTAAATTTTTATATTATTTCTATTTAAAATTTTTATTATCTAACTATGACTTCATGGGTTGACTAATTTGATTTAGATGGTTGAATTGCTTAGTCATCACTTGATAAAGAATATGATTTTGTTTATTAGTAAGTTTTAAAATATATGGGTTTATATTGTTAAAAGTATTGGACATAAATCTAATTAGTAGCATTTATTAGTGAAAAAATAACTTAAGTATAGGATTTAATAAGAGAGAATGGGAGTAAATACCTTAAATATAAGACTTAATAAGAGGAGATTGAATGAAGTAAAAAGCATTAATTGAAATTACATTTTCAACACCCATATTAGAGATGGACTAAATACACAAATATGGGCATTTCAGTCAAGAAAAATCTCACACTCTCATTAAATATAATAGTCAATGAGAAGAGATTAAATGAGGTAAAGAAACATTAATTGAAATTACATTTTCAACCCTCATAATTAGAAACGGACCAAATACACAAATATGGGCATTTTAGTCAAAAAAAGCTCCACACACTAGAACAAAAAATACCTATAGTGGCATTTTTTTTATGCCGCTATATATCAGTTTATATGCCACTATATCTTTATGGTGGCATATTTGTGGTGTATCGTCTTGCGCCACTAAAAATTACATCGGTATAGGGTGGGTATAACGACATTTAGATAAATGCCGCTACAAATAATCCTATAGTAGCGTTTGATTGGTTAATAGCGGCATATAGATATGCCAATATAAGCTAAAAAAATTAATTTATATATGTCTTTTGCGGCATATATAAATGCCGCTATAAATATAACATCTATAGTGGCATTTTATGAAYGCCACAGTAGATCTGTTTTAGTGAACTTGTAGTGGCATTTGTAACTATCGTTATAGATCTATTTGATTGAACCTGTATAACCGCCACAATAGATTTGTTTGATTGAACTTGTAGTGGCGTTTATAACCACTACAACAGATAGTTGAAACCTGTTCGATCAGCTATCATATTCAATATTAGAATCATTAAAAACTTATGATTTTAAAATAAAATTCAACAAAATAAATACTCATTTCAAATAGAATTCATACATTTATATTTTAAAAGAATATTTACACAAAAAAGGTATATTTTGATATTAGAATCATATCAAAATATTAATCAAAGGTCTTCATCCATCGGTTGATCACTATTGCTCCTTGGATAGTACGTAATATCAACCTACAAAACAAATGCAAAGAAAAAATTAGAATAAGTACTTAGTTCAAAGGCTATAAAAAATTTCTATTTTAGGACCTATTGAATTATTCAATACGAAAACATAGGAATTATCTAAAGAGTAAAGACGGTAGATCCTTTTTTTGTGTTTATGATGAGGTTTCATTTGTATAATACACAAACAACTTAAAAAGGTTCCTCCACAAGGTCTCCCATGTTCCTTAGGGAAAAGCAAGTTAAAGAAATAAGTGGAGACTTTAATTGAATGAGAATGGTTTGATAGGGAACTAGTCGAACCTTGTATATTTATAGATACAAGAGTTAGAGTTTATGTACAATATTCAATTAGGAGATCAGATTACACTGAGCTCTATCAGATAGAGTTTATTCAGACTGAACTCTATCTGATAGAGTTTATCAAGTTAGTGAAGATCTATCACAAAACAGATAGAGATATGCTTCACCGCATATCTGTTGGCACTTCATCTTCTGGTGATGTGGCAATATTGTTCTCAATATGCCCCCTCAAGCGAATGGGCATTGGAAGCACATGCAGCTTGTGTGCTATGGATGTGAAGCACAGGGAAGATAATGGTTTGGTAAAAATGTTAGCTAGCTGACCTATAGACTGAATGTGATGAAGCTGGAGAGATTGCTTGAGGAGATGATCCCACAAAAAATGGAAATCAACCTCTATATGGTGAGTTTGTGCATGAAAGATTGGATGAGCAGCAAGATAACACACTCCCACATTATCATAGTAAAGTGAAGGAGCTGATGAGAGACAAATTCTGAGATCCATTAAGAGGGACTGTAACCAAATTAATTCAATAGTAGTATTTGCAAGAGATCTGAATTCAACTTCTATACTAGACCTGGCAACTGTCTGCTGCTTCTTGGCACTCTAGCTCACTAGGTGAGATCCAAGATAAATACAATAGCCACCAATAGACCAGCGGTCATCAGGGCATCCAGCCCAGTCAACATCGGAGAAGGCAATGAGACGAGTAGAGGCCTGAGAAGAGAAGAATAAAGCATGATCTAGGGTATGTTTAAGATACCAAAGAATACGCTTGACTACAATCCAATGTTCGTCCGTGGGAATATGCAAAAACTGGCAAGCCTTGTTAACTACAAAACTGATGTCAGGACGAGTGAGAGTGAGACACTGTAGTCCTCCAACAATACTCCTAGACTAAGATGGGTCAGAGAGAGGTGAGCCATGAAGCCTGAAGAGCTTAGTAGTCGCTGCCATGGGAGTGGAGAGAGGCTTTAAACCATCAAGGCCAGCATGATGAAGTAGATCAATGATATAGCGACGTTGACAAAGAAAAAGTCCAGTGCGATCTCTGTGAGATTTAATACCCAAAAAATAATGCCGGTCACCAAGATCCTTAAGCTGGAACATTCGGCCCAGACTGGTTACCACGGATTTAATGAGTGTCGGGGAAGTCCCAATGAGTATAACATCATCCACATATAATAACAAACATATTCGATGATCACCATGAGAGTAAATAAAAAGAGAGGGATCACAATGAGAAGTACGGAATCCCAGTTCAACAAGCTTAGTGCTAAGGTGTGAGAACCAAGCCCGGGGAGCCTGTTGATATCCATAGAGTGCCTTGGACAGTTTTCACACATGAGTAGGGCGATCAGCATCTTTGAAACCCTTAGGTTTCCGCATATAGATATTCTTAGTGATAAGCCCATTGAGAAAGGCATTGTCAAAGTCCAGTTGTCAAATGACCCACTGATGGGAGACCACAAGAAAGAGAATAGTATGAATGGTGGTAGGTTTAATGACGGGACTAAAGGTGTAAAAAAATCAACACTTGGTATTTGAGTGAATCCCTAAGAAACTAGCCGGGCTTTACAGCGATCCACAGATCCATTAGGTTTTCTTTTGATCTTATATACCCACTTAGAGATGACCACAGTCATCGAAGATTAATATGGTATGAGGTCCCAAGTCTTATTTTGAACAAGAGCCTGAAACTCTTTGGACATCACATCACACCAATGACGGTGTTTAGAGGCTGTGGAGTAATTWGTGGGTTCAGATTCATTAGCCACAATAGATGCATTATAATAAAGAGGAAGAGGATACAAAGTGGTCAAAGAGGCCTTAGAGTGCATGGACCGAGTAATCATAGGGTGAGTGCGCCGAACAGGAGCAAGGACCGGTTGTGTGGAGTCTAAGAGATCCTGAACCAGCTGAGTCCAAGGTCGAGTGTGCGGCAGGTCATCTGATGTAGGAACAGGTCCGGCACTCTTAGCGTCAGTGTTGCAGCTGTCTGATCTGGGTGCAGACGGCATATTATCAGTCCCAAGAGATGCCACCAAAGGAGATGCAAGAGCATACCCCCTTTGCTGATTTATACAAACTGGAAGGAAAGTGACACCATCAGTATTGGATTACGGAGATGGTGTCGGTTGTGGCAAACCAGGAAACAACTCTTCATCTAAGATAACATGGCAGAAAATATAAAGGCAACTTGCCTTGACATCATAGCAGCAGTAACCCTTGTGAGAGGAACTATAGCTCGGAAAAATGCAAAGAGAAGACCTGAAATCCATCTTGTGCTGATTGTATAGTCACGGAAATGGGTAATATGCATAGCCGAAGGTGCGAAGAAGAGTGTAATCTGGTGTGTGATTAAATAAAACTTCATACGGAGACTTGCCTTTGAGAGTCTGAGAAGGAATGCAGTTAATCAGGAAAACTGCAATTTCAGCCGCATCAGAGGACTCTATCACATGGTGATGCTTCCATTCAATGGTTCTGTTATGCTCATGAGTGTGAGGGCAGGCGAGCCGGTGTTCGATGCATTGTGAATCAAGATACTGTGAGAGCCACTGGTATTCCCCTCCACAATCAGATTAAACAAATTTAATTTTTACATCAAATAAATTCTCAACATGYTGTTTAAACATGAGAAAGATATCAAATACATCAGACTTTTGGCGCATAGGAAAAATCCAAGAAAATTTAGAAAAAGCATCTACAAATAACACATAATATCTAAAACCATTATTGAACTCAATTGGGTCTGGCCCCCATACATCTAAATAAAGCAATTCCAATGGACGATTATAAGAAGTAGACAAAGCAGAGAGGCGAAGACGATGACTCTTTCCTAATTGACAGGCATGGCAAACCGRTAAACTAAATGAACCATTATAGGGAAGACCGAACTGAGATAGCGCACGCCGAACCACTTTGATGGTAGCATGTCTAAGCCAATGATGCCAGATCCGAACTTATGCTTCCTCACTAATAAATGCAATACTACCGGATGGCGGAGCAAAAGTGATAGATGCTGATGCAGGAAATTGATAGAGTCCACCCTTACTGGGTCCATAGAGTAGAACTCTCCCCATATGGTCCTTCAAAAGAAAATGAGAAGGATGAAATTCAAAGACAACATTGTTATCTTTGGTAAATTTGCTAACAAAAAACAGATTCTTTGTAATGGAGGGAACATGATAAATATCTTCGAGGTAAAACTTATGGTCATTATGAGAAATAATGGAAGAACCAATATTTTTTATCTCCAAACCTGTGCCATTACCAATTTTCACCTGATCAAACCCACAATAGTCTGATTGAATCTGAAGATTGTCCAGATTGGACGTAATGTGGTGTGTTGCTCTAGAATCTAGATACCAAGTTCGGTTAAACTGAGGCGAGGAACCAGTGTGAAAAGCAATTGGATCAGGAGTAGGATTTTGAGCAGGCTGTCGATCACCACCAAGATAGGAAATATCAAAACGACGCTGACACTTCCAAACACCATGGCCAGGAATGTTACACAGTTGGCAAACAATGGTGTTGCCACGTCCTCTACCACGTCCTGAACCATCACTTTGATTGCCACGTCTKCCTCGGACTCTTCCACGTTGTGAGTTATTGCGCAACTGCTGGGATTGCTGGAAAWGATTTTTGTTGGTTGAAGCAAGATTGGCAGAAGCACCATCATCTATCTTAAGATAGCGATTTTCTCGAAGCCAAGACTCGTGATTAAGTAATTAGCCAACAACATTAGAAATTCTTAGTTTATCAAAATCAGGTCGATTAGCAATAGCAGTAATAATGGATTCATATTCAGATCTGAGTCCACTCAAAATACACATAACAAGATCCTGTTGGGAGACAGGTCCAGAAACAGCAGAAAGGTTTGTCAGCAATACCTTTGGCTTTCTGTATATATTCGGAAATGGAAAGGGTACCTTTCTTGAAACTTTGGAGTTGTCTCTTTAACTACAAAATTCTGGATCGGGAGTGTGAAGCAAATGACTCTTCCAACAACTTGAGCAAGTATATACCTTCCAGTGCGGGATGAAATGATCCAGCTAAGTACCAGCTGATCCAATTGGTAGCAATGATCAAATGTAGGATTGATACTTTTCTTTGATGGATCCTTTGGATTATCAATTTCTTCAGGAGGTGCAGGAGTTTTTCCTTCCACTATTCCCATAAGTTTGTGAGTTTTGAGAATGGGAAGAATCTACACACGGCATAGGAAATAGTTGTCGCTGTTCAACTTGATGGGTAGATAATGAGTGATGTTAGGCATCAATCCTAGCATACCTGAAGTAGTTGTTGAAGTCAACGACCCTAGGCTGTTGATCCCTCCTTCTGTCGAACTGTTGATTGAAGCCATGGTAATGTGGCTCTGATATTGATGGAGCGCAATCCGGTCGATCCTAGCTGTCAACGATCTTGCCTCTGACTGGAGCAAAAGGTGCCTGAAATGGGGAAGAAAACGAGTAGTCTCTGGGGAGGAACCCGGTGAGAGTGCTCCGAAGCTCAAGTTAGWATTTTCTCAAAGGCAAAATAAAAAACCAGATGGCACAAAGTTATCACGTACCTCCATTCTTGGGGGGAAGAGGGCCTTTTATAAGCACTTCGTGCACTCACTCCCAAGCTCCTGCCAGGTCGGGTATCATTACCTCTGCACTTCTGCCAGTTCGGGTGTCATCACCTCTGCTGGGGCAGACAACCGCCGCTGCTCTCTTTTTCGGAGCCGTCTCTGTAACTAGAGGTGGCGGTGGAAGGTGGCCGTTGAAGTGCGACTGTCAAGCGTCAAATCCTAAGTCAGTCAGGCGCGCCGCCTTAGGATACATACTCCTTTGGTGTCAGGTACGGTTGTTCAGTTCAGCGAACTGGAGATGAAGTGTCGGAGTGGTGTGCGAGGTGAAGTCTTGAGTTCGGATAGAAGTGTGGCCCGAATTGCCCTGGGGTGGGCSAGTTCGGGTTGTTGYCCTTTGTGCTCCTTGTAAGGCTCGGGGTCAAATGGAGAGTTCGAGCTCCTTTTGGGGAGCTCAGACCGCTGGTTCCTCCTCTCGGAGCTCGCGCCTTGAGCGCATTACCGTGCAGAGTTGTCGCCCCTGCTAGGTCACCCTCGGTTGCTTCCACGTGTTGGGTGGCCAAGAGGTCGGGCCAAATCTTCCTCCATCAATTGCCCCCCACTCCTCGTGCTAAGGGTCTTGCCCTAGCGCGGGTAGTTCGCGAGGTATCGGGTGGATTTGACCCGTACTTCAAACCAGTTGACTGATGGCGTGAAGTGTGCGTACGTCAGGAGATTTCTGGATTCCTCGAGCACCAAAAAAGTCAGAAAATGTGTCAATCCATCTTTAAATGCTGGGAGACGTGATGGCGGGCGTTATTTCAAATTCAAAAAATGCGCCACTGCTGTCTTCAATGCTGGGAGATGTGTGTCGGCGCTGCTTCAGTTTCCAAAGGCATGCAACCAGTCATGTCTCGGTCTTAGGAGGCGTGCGGTCAGCTTGATCGTGAGCCGTTAGATTTGCCTCGATCAGAGCTGTTGATTTTCAGTCACTGTGGGTATAAATAGTGGGGGACCCCATTCGCTTTCCATTGCCATTATCCTGTGTTCGCTTCTTGAGCTCGCGTCAACATTCCGTAGTCCGTTAGCTTTTTCCGGGTGAGTCAGTACTTTCTTCTTGGTTTTCCTTTCCTCCCGATGTCTAGCTCGGACAACTTAGACAGATTCTTGAGGGGGTCAGATGCAGGTTCCACGAACCGAGCTGCAGCCCCCGATAGCTTTAGTGAGCCCGAGGCGGAGCCCGAGGTAGAGCTCGAGGGAGAGCTCGGGGAAGAGTTCGAACCCGTAGGCCGAGCCACCTCGGGTAGTTTGGCGTCTTCCTCCCGTCGAGGTCGGACATTAGACAAGTTCGGGTCCTCAACCATGACCCCTGAGGAGCTTTACTCCCTTATCACCCAGTTTAACCTGTTCGAGGAGTATACTTACTTTATACCCCTGGGCGACTTCTCTTGGGAACACGGTCCGGACGAGATCGTGATATTCCGGGAGCAGCTCGTCCCTGGGCTGCGCCTACCTTTCCACACTCTTATCGTCGAGGTTATGAACCACTTCGGTGTCACTGTCGGTCAGCTCCACCTGAACTCTATCCGTAACCTAGTTGGGACAATCTCCCTTTGTTGCAAACACATTATGCCTTTGGACCTAGAGATCTTCTCTTCTATCCTCATGCTTAAGAAGCAAGCGGGTTCCCTTCCCGGGCGTAGGCAGGCATACTACCTGTCTCCTCGCCCGGGGTTCAAGCTTTTACACGATCTTCCCAACAAGGTCCCGGCGTGGAAACGGGACTACTTCGTGGTACGAAGTGCAACGGGGTGGCCGTTCCAAACCGGGTGGGCTTGGCTGCCCCCGACCCCGGTGTTATGCTAGATAGGGAGACGACGAAGGGTCTTCAGGGCTGGGCCCGACTTGGGCTAAAATGACACAATTATCTGRCAGAGGCCAAGCTCATCCAGGCCGGCTTGAGTTCGAGTAGGTTCCTTGTTCAGAGGCTTGCCTTTGTTTTGCTTTTCATTCTTTCGTTTTCCTGATGCTGAGCTCTTTTTTGCAGGTGTGATGGACACAGAAAAGACTCGCGGTGGAAACCTGTTTCATGTCATGAAGAGGAGGAAGCGAGTTGCTAAACGGGCTCGTGCCAAACCGCTCCGAGATGCGGAGCCCAAGGTACCGAGCTCTCCGCCAATGGATCCGCCCAGGGAGCCCGAGATGGCCCCTCTAGTACAAGAAGTGGCAGGGGCCCCTTACGTTGAGGCTGCTTATACGGGGGCTCCTCACGTTGAGGCTGTTTATACCCGGGCTGGGCCTTCAGGCTCGGGAGGCCAAGGCGAGTTCAGGAGTGTGCTATCGCCAAACCACGCCCTTCAAAAAAGTAAGGAGGCCGTTTACCCTGAGGAGGTCACGGCGTGGGCCAAGCTTCCTTTAAACCACGTGGCCGGGTGTGCTGCCTCTTATGCCATGGTGGTAAGTCAGCGACTTCTTGTCGGGCTCCTTGTCATTACCTTTCTCGCTATTAATCTTTTAACAATGTCGTTATTTTTCCTTTTGGTAGGTGAACTCCTCCATCCATGCTTTAGCGGCCCAAGCGGAAAGGAGCTCAAGGCGGGTACGAGCTGCCGAAGAGGCTTCCCGTGCTGTCGAAGCGGCTTCTCGCGCTGCACAGGCCAGGCTGGCGAGGTCTCAGAGAGACACCGAGGCCCTGGGAGTGGTGGTAAAGCACATGGCGGACCTGAGGCCCTCGTCGTGCTTTGACGACCTGATGGTGAACTCGTACAGGAGGGGTTTTAAACTGAGTCAGTGGATGATCAGGAACACGTACCCCGAGCTCGACATCAGCGCCATAACCACTTCGCGCATTACTCAGGAGATGGCCAACGCAGCTAACGGTGAACCGGATTCTGAGGACGAGGCAGGACCCTCGGGTATCATTGAAGTGCCTCCCGTGGGTGAGGAAGATGTAACTCCRGGCCTGTGAGCTCGCTTCTGTTGTTGTTTTTTTTTTTTTGAATGTAAACAGAGTATTTTGTAATGAAATGTTCTTTTGGTTAAGTGTTCTGTCATCTTCTCCTTCTTTTCCGAACTGATTATATTGTCGGACTGCTAGAATTAGGGCCTAGGGCGGATTAACATAATAAGGCTATATGCCCGAATTGACTATATTGTTCTGTCGAGAACCATACTCGTGCGGCCGCTTTCGACGTCAACACTTGGCCCCCGATGATGAGATATCGAGGTCCTTATCAGCTCATTGTTAGCGCTTTGCCTCGTCAGCTTGGTGCTAGCATTTTGCCTTTGCTTGCCCGCGCCGAGGTCCTTGGTAGCGACTTAGTCCACCTCGCTCGGTGATATAGGTAGTATCGTCTCAAGTTAACGACGTTCCACGCTCGGGGTACTTGTTTGCCCTCTAAGGTTTCGATCTCGTATGCTCCCCCGAGCACTCTCTTTACTCGGTAGGATCCTTCCCAATTCGGTCCAAGTTTGCCCATGCCGGGCTCGAGTGCCATGATCTTACGGAGAACCAGGTCACCGATGCGGAGGTTCCTCTTTTTTACTCTGGCATTGTAGCACCGAGTTGCTCTTTGCTGGTAAGCTACGGTCCGGATGTACGCGAGGTCTCTTACCTCGTCGAGTAGATCGAGGTTGGTATGTAGCTCGTCTCCATTTGTCTGATCGTCGTATGCTTCTAGTCGCAGTGTAGGTACTTCGATCTCCGCTGGGATYACCACTTCAGTGCCGTAGGTGAGGTTAAAGGGGGTCTCTCCCGTGGCAGTTTTTTCCGTAGTTCGGTGAGCCCATAGAACACTTGGTAGTTCATCCGCCCACAACCCTTTACCTCAGTCTAGTCGCGCTTTCAGCCCGCGGAGGATAGCTCTGCTCATAACTTTTGCTTGACCGTTTGCCTACGGGTGCGCGACCGATGTGAAGTTCTGCCAAATCYCCATATCTTGGCACCATTCCTGAAATTTGATGTCCTCGAACTGCTTGCCATTGTCGGAGATCAGTACTCGAGGTAACCCGAAGAGACATACTATGTTCTTCCAAAATAAGTTATGTATGTTTCGAGCTGTGACTGTTGCGAGAGGTTCAACTTCTACCCACTTTGTGAAGTAATCTACCGCCACCACTAGGAACTTCCTCCCACCT